CAATGTTCGTAGTCTTAAATTGCCCCAGTTCCAACTTTTTTGGAACATGCTGCAGGCACCAATTTCAGAATGAGCATATTTTTACACAATGAAGCTGATAAAATGAAACATTATATATCTAGTTTTGGTACTGTTTTTGTTCAAATACAGGTCAAAGTAAATATTATTGTATATATATATATAGTATAAACAGTAAATCACACTTTTATGTTTTTATTTGCATTTTATCTACTTTCCCAACTTTGTTGGAATTGGGTTTGTAGCTAAAAACACTACTGTATACAGCATTCTTGCTGTCCTACCACAGCAATAGTATCATTAGGGTGTCATGTAGGCTAGGCTAGTGATAGTCACAGTCAATTAATTTGTATCCATCCACAACCACAGTGCTGCCTGCTATTAAGAATTTCCTGGGGAAACACTGAGAATACAGAATTTTTTATAGTATTATATCATTGCATTCCTAAATGTTAATATTCAGCTGGGTATATTTAGGGTTTTGATGGGAAGGGTCAACCACTCCTTAACACTTCTTTCCCATCTGCAAAAGAAACTAAACAGTTTCTCCTCTGGAGTGCTGGGTGTGGATTTAGTGTGCAAGCAGTCTTGGTTTATCACTTCCAGTACTGTATATCCTCTCTGCCCCCACTGCAGCATTTCACTGTCATCTGATACTGCTTTAGTGTACTGTGTGTGTGTGTGGGTGTGTGTGTGTGTGTGTGTGGGTGTGTGTGTGTGTGTGTGTGTGGGTGTGTGTGTGTGTGTGTGTGTGGGTGTGTGTGTGTGTGTGTGTGTGTGTGTGTGTGTGTGTTTATATGGGTTTATTAAATCAGTTCATAGATTTTGCTCCTGTTCCCTCTTACAGGTCAGAATGTTTGAAAGTGGGGGAGCTGAAAAGGTCCATAAGCGCATGTTTTGTGTATGAATATGTCTGTATGTGTGTGCATTAGCAGTGTCAAAGTAAGAAGTTGGTATGTTAATGTGAGAAATGATTAAGGCCTCTCTTTTTTCAACGCCGTTTCCTAGTTTGGCCCATTAAACCGTCCGTAGTTCCTGAAGCATAGCTGCTTGCTTGCTGTACATTGTGTGATTTAATCTGCAGCTGTAGTCTTCTCATTCAGATACTGCTTTTAAATGGCAAGGTCCATCGATGGGCTCTTGATAAAACCAAGGTTATTTCCAGCTACTGCAATACTGTGAATTTGTTCATCACCAATGCACATTGAGTCTGAAGCTCTGATGTGGCAATGTCAGTAATTTAGCAGACTATGCTGTATGTAAGTGAAAAGGCTACAGTTGTAGAGGAGTTGGAACATGCAGCCACTGTTGCTCTCACTGGGTAGTGCTGATGAATATTAAAACTATGTTCACCTTATTGTCACGTTCAGTTGATGTGAACATAATGTTACTGATTTATTGAAAGTAATAAACGTGTTCCAGTGAAGCTCATTTTGTCCACTCATATAGCTATAACAAAATGCAGTGCTTTTTAAATGAAAAAAACCCTTTTAGGGTCAAATTTGAGCGAATAAGACAAATGCCATTTTTAAAAATGCAATTAACTGCACAAAAAATGTTATTAATCCTGATTAATTATTTGTTTCACAGTCTTAATCTGTATGTTTTAGCATGAAGGCAAACGTATTAATGCATATAAATACCTGTGTAAATCTCTGACATTTTAATTTTGATTACGGTTCATTAGTAAACAATTCAGTGCATCATGAAATCTTACATTGCACCACAATTCGATTAGACTATTTTAAAGAAATACACCAAACACGCACGTGACTGGAGGAGCAACTTACACAGTAGTTTAATACAGGCAATAAAAAGAATACATGATGCTTTTTTATTGTTGTTTTGTTTTTGGGAGTGGGGATTTTTGCATCTGGAAAAGGCCTGAGAATTTAATTTTGGCCAAAAAATGAGAACAATAATTACTTGCTCTTTTAAATATTATTTTAATATAATTCACTCTAACATTCCAGAATTACTGAAATTAAATCACCATCTTCAGAGGCATTTGAATATAATGTGTACATTTCATTCTCTTGTTCTGGTTTTTGATCTCATCCTCTCATTCTCTTTTTTCTCTCTTTTTCCTTTATTCATCCATTTGTCTATTTTCTCCACGTTTTCTGCTTTTCTCTCTCTCTCTCCTCTTGGCCTCCTGCTCTGTCTTGTATGCGGCCTGTGTTTAGAGGGCGCATTCATTCATGAGTTCTCCTGCGAGTTCAGCCATGTCAGCAGAAGAGTTTTGCTGGCGTAAGGCTGACTCGGTCTCTCAGCAGAGCAGTGAAGGCAGGTCTGGTCAGGGTTAGGCCTCGTCCTTGGAAATATGAGAACACACAAGCAGAAAACCTTCATCACAAGTGCTGCGCTGATACACACAGTATATGGCAGTGTGTGGTATCTTTTTTTTCACTCTGTCTGATGTGTGAGTAGCCGATGGTGATTGGCCTGCTAGATTGCTGGTGGTTAGAGTTATTGATCAGGTCATGGAACTGCATTGATTATGGATTTGGGACCTTGCAGTGCTGCTGGTGGCAGGGCTGTGCGCATCTGATGCACTGTGGGACTCATTTCATCCCCTCATTTGCAGCAGAATGAAACTGCATTGCGATCCTGCATTGGCAGAAATTAGCATTTTCAGCCGTCAACAAACTGAGAAGCACTTTATACAGTACAACAGACCTTGTAGTATCTGTAGTTGTATGTAGAAGTTTGCCCCCCCACCCTGGTCAGATTACATGTTTTGTTGATTTTTAAAACACATCCTCTACACACTTCTGCCCATTTTAATACACAATTATTGTTTATTATTATTGTTGATTTTGACATACGAGAAATGTGACCTGTGGAAAAGTTATGGCACATTTTATATTTTATGTTTTTTTTTTCCAAAATAATAAATAAACAGAAATTGTGCACTAAATATTAAAACATGTAGTATATGTTCTATATAATATCAGAAGTGTATTCTCCTTGTTTAAATAATAATAATTTGTAATTGTATAGTAATAAATACCGCAATATAGTGCCCTTGCAATAACAGTGTCATGTCTCTCCTCCCTCTGGGGTGACTTGACTTGGACTCTCGCTGGCTCTGCCCACTCTCCTTCTCTCTCACACATCTTAAGTCTCGCATATATACCCCATTGTTTGTTTCAGTAGTGGCGACGTCTCTTTGTCTCCTAGCTAAGTATCAAGCCTTTTTCTCTGTGTTAGTTTTTGACCATTGCTACTTTCTCTGCTTTTTTGAGTATGGACCTGCTTCTGATTTTGCCTGCCTGTGTTTGGACCCCTCCTTGCTGTGACTATAAGTATTGGTCTGCCCCAAATAAAGCTACTTCGCATTTGCAACCTGCCTCTGTCCCTACGTTACAAACAGGCAGAAGGCCTACATTTGGAGCACCATTTATTTTACTGAAAATCTTATCTATAGAAACCTGAGACAGTTTATTATTGATTTTCTCTGTCTCTTAGCTCTCTCTCTCTCATTCTCACACATGCTCTCACTCCCCTTTCTTTCTCTCTCGCTCTTTCTTACCTTGTACTTTTTATAAATTTATGTCACGTCTGGATTAAATTCACTTCTAGACTGTCTCTGGATTTTTGTCTGTAAAAGACGTGCAGTACATTGTGAACCAAACCAGACTTTAATTTCTGTTTTTTTGTTGTTTTTTTTAACTGCAGTATCTACGAAATGATGCTTCATTTTCCTCCTTACATAAAGTCACACAACCAGGCACTGACCTGCCTCTGACAACAGCCCCATATCCAAATCTGCATCCTATCCTTCTGATTGGTTAAGCATCTGATGATCTAGTTTTAGGGTGCGCTAATGCCCAGACAGAGCAAGAACTCAAATCTCCTCCCCATATCTCAGACAGTTGAACTGCGCTGAGAGATTAACGCCTCTAATCATGCAGAGTGGGCGCAGAGGCATTTTCTCTGAGCAGGGTCGGGTTTTCATTTCTGTAATTTCTCTATGTCCTCAACTGTTCCCCACGGTTTGTCTGTTTTTTTTTTACCTTTTTTTGGTTATAATCTGTTCTGTAAGCACCCTGCTCTAGTAGCTGATGTTTAAGGTTGGTCCATTGATTTATGATTTAAGCTCCAGCACTCCTCAATCTGAGCAGCTTCCTCAAGCATGAAAAGGAATTTTTGTTGTCCACAAATATTTTGTTTTGCTTACCATGGGTTTCCCTAAAACTCTGAGATCTCAGTTTGAAGAGCTGTTTTCCACTTCAAAGAGACAGAAATTATAAGCTTTCTCTGATCTGGCAGCATCTTTGTGAAAAGACTTACAGCTAGAGGTGAGAACATTTACCTGTTTTCTGAAAGGGAACGTTGAAGTCATATGCGCAAGTTTTAACACAAAAAAATGACATTTGTTAATTTTCTAAGTGAAAACAAGTCGACACAACCTCTACAGGTCACTGACAATTTTAGTGAACAGTGTATATTTATTTGCTGTGTTATGTTTCACATAACATAAAATAGAAAATGTGCCACATTTTATAGTTTTTGCACAGGCTGCATTTACATTTTTTCCAATATGTTAAATTCAGCAAATAAACAATAATTACGAATGCATGTGAATGTGCAGTCATATGTTCTCTGTAGGGGATGTAACTTATTTTTTTCTTCAGCGAAACTTGTTATTTTGTCCAGGGGTGCCCAAGCTTTTGCACATTCCACCGATCTCACACACAGTATTGATTCTTTGATCTCCATGCTTAATATACACACTCTACCGAGAACTTGTTAAAACGCTGTTTGACGCATGCCTTGCTATATTCCTGAGTTTGTAGCACCTTGCTGGGCTCTTTCACAGGCAGGATTTAGTTTTGGCAGCAAGAGTTTGACAGTTGAGTGAGGAGTGCTGAACTCCTAAGCCTCCTGTCAATAACGTCTTTCTGGAAGTTTGCTTTAGTGCAAAACCACAAAGCTTTGCTAAGAGCACTTTAACATGAATCCCTCTGCCTCTTCAGGACTCCCTCATTCTGGAGAAGAATGATTTCCACCACCCAGTGTGTTCATTCCAAGACGACTTTCAGGAGTTTGAGATGATTGATGATGAAGATGAGGATGACGATGATGAGGAGGAAGGAGAGGCAGATCCTGATGCTCCGCCCTCTCCCTCTGCATCTCCTCCTCCCTCCCCTACTTTAGGTTCCCTTAAAAGCCGTCCCACAACTCTCAACCTGACCACCACAGTTTCACAGGTACATACTCCCACAGTATATTGGCTGAATGTAGTACAAATAAACAAATTCAAAGTAGAAATGAAGTAAACTTTCCTGAAAATGTGCATATGTGAGGCATTTATCTCTGTTGTTTTTCTGTGTCCCAGGACTCCTTGAACAACAACAGTAGCGTCTCTCCACGAAAGTCAAGCTGGCAGGATTCGCTTCGCAATCCCACTTCACAGGGTGACTATTGCTTGTACTTTATTTTGCTAAGCTACTCTTAGCTGGCAAATTGACCAGGAGCTGAATACAGGCAATTTACACTTCATTTGTTTGTGCTCATTTCTTTTTCTGTACTCTTCAGCTATTCGTTTTCTGCAGTCTGACTACTAATAGTGACTGCCTTGATGACTGATTGCATGTATTGCCACTAGTTACATAATTAAATTAAGGCCAGTTCAAGTAAGGCTTTTTTTGGAATATCCATAGTAGCATAAAATAGTAGTAGGCATAAAATAATGCACAGAACATTCAGACTCACAGTGTACTCAAGAGTGAAGAAGACATCCTCATACTCTTTCTCTCCACTTTCTCTTCATTTACGTTTCATTGATGGACATTTTTTTCCCCTTTTCTCCCCTTTCCTTCAGGTCGTTTATCTCCAGCCCATACTTGCCTTGAAGATGGTACCCATGTAACTGGTACATGCCCAGGGGCTCCTGGCACCGCAGTCTCTGCCAAAGGTACTCCCTCAAACCCACCTGGGCACTGTGGTCTCAATCAGTCACCTGGCAGGCCACTGCTGTACGACTTTGAGGGCAACAGACGCGAGCGTCCCGAATACGGTAAAAAATGTCTGGCCCTGTTGCTAGAGGCTCATCAACATGAACATACAGTCATAACTGTAAACGTGAAGTTGTCGCCTTACTCCTCTAAGTGTCGTCACCGTCATCTTCATTCTGTGTGTAAAATATTTTAAAATATTTACCAACAATAGAATATATAGACCAATTATTTTCAGCTCTCCTCTTACACTGCAAAAAAATTATATATGTAATTGAAATCTTAAATCTAGCTGATATATGTAATATTTCTTATTTTGAGATGGTTAAAGGAATATGATATCTAGACTTTTTCTACATAATTTCTTTGTTTTATTTATCAGTTGTATTTATCTTATTTAGTTGGCAAATCATTTTGCTTGTTTCAAGCATTATTTATGGAAACCAGCCAAATTATTTGCATAAATTATCTAGAAAAAGTCTCTTATAATATTATTTCTGCTATCTTAAAATGAGATACATTTTTGCATTGTAGTTGTCACTCTGTTTCCGTCAATATAGCCCTCTTCATGCTTCTGTCCTTTTCTAATTCCATGTTCTTTCCTCTTTTTCTGTTTCTTCCTGTCTCTTCCTTTTCTGTATTAAGGTTCCTTTGGTCAGCATAATTCCTCTGCTGGCCCTGAGGCCACTGATGTAAAGCCCACTGTTGAAGGAACTCTTGAGGACCATGTACCCTCAGGCGAAGACTGCATTTCCCAGTGCTCAGACACTGAGGTTGACCATGACCTCAACGGCCATGCTAAACACCGACTGTGCCGCCCCAGACCTAATGACACATACACAATCACTACAGAAACAGCTGATGACCCAGAGCTGGAGAACGACCTTACTCTGGATGGCACCAGTAAGTGCCTGTCCTCTACGGCACCACTTGGCAATGATGCTGAGACCCCACTGTCAGACGAGGAGCTGGATAAAGAGTTTGAGATTGACTTCATGAACAAGGAGACCTATGATCTGCCCTGTAAGGAACCAGAGGGCTTATCCTATGTGGAGTTTCCCAGCATTGAACCTGCAGACCTGGCCTCAGTCTCCAGCCATGGGTCATCTAGTCGATCAGAGGTTAATACAGCAGATGCCGTGCCTCGGGATCAGCCTTCTGCTGCTGCTATGGCAAATGACACAACATCTCCTTCTTCTGACCCTGGCATCGCAGACATGAATGCTAAGCGCTATGCAGAGTCAGACCGGCACAGTGATGACCTCAGCTCCCCTGGATCTGACTCTGATATTGAAGGTGAACTGGAGGCAGCGTTTGCCTGTGGTGGTCCACTGGTCAGTAATATGATTTCGTCTATCTCAGAGACTGAACTGGACTTGACCAGTGAGTCTAGCAGTGGAAGATCCTCACATCTGACCAACTCCATTGAGGAAGCCAGCTCACCAACCTCTGACCCAGAGCTAGACCAAGAGCTTGATGTTGAGCAGGACAGTGGCATTGTGGGTCTGAAGGCATCTCTTCTTCTAGGCCAGCCTGAGCCCATTAAACAGGACCATTCACCAATAACGGAGCACGGCCCAGATGTCCATCCTCTGGATGATGGACAGGCATTGATGGGGCTGCAAAGTGTGGATGATGAGCAGGGTTATGAGCACCAAGCAGATCCTGATGAGACTCTGCCTCCTGCTGTGCCCTGCGAGGATAGTGCCTCCCAGCAACTGCTATTGAAGATTGAACCAGACCACAGCCTGGAGAGCTTCAAACGATCTTTCTACCTGCCTGTTGGACCCAGGCTCATGCCCTCGGTGGACGACTATGATGGGAACAGTGAGGGAGACTCTGAGTCAGAGTCAGAGGATGAGCTCAGTGAGAACTCTGATTCGCCATGGTTACTCAGCAACCTGGTCAACAAGATGATCTCAGAGGGATCCTACCCAATCAGCTGCCCAGAGGAGTGTCTCAAGCGTTCTGCTTCTATCTCCGACACCATCTCACCTTCATCAGACCTGGAGACAGATACCTTTAACGAGAGCGAAGGCCGTAAGATGCAAACGCAGAAAGCTGAGGAAGGCTGCCTGGAACAGCTACCCAAATGCTCGGTGCAGATGCAAGGAGAGGAAGAAGACAGGAAATCCAGCGGTGGATCAGAAGAAGAGGAAGAAGACAGCAAGAGACTCAGCTCCTGTCTGTACATGAGCAACCCTACAAATGACACCATCACTCCTGTCATCTTAGAGCGGTACCAGCCCAAGACCACAAATGAGGAAGACTTTACATGCCAGAGGTCGCTGAAAAATCAACGGAATCAAGAAGAAGAGGAGCCAAATAATGACTTGACAATGGAGAGGATGAAGGATCTGGACTCCCCCAGCCTAAGTGAAAGCATCGTCAGTGACAAGGATGAAGGACGGGAGACAAGGGTGGACCCTCTATCTCTGGACAAAATCACAGAAGTTAAAAACAGTCTGACACTCGACATTCCCACAGCACAGACCAATCGTTGCTTCAGCCTTACCTACTCCACAGACAATGATGAAGATGATCAGGATGCCTCACCTTTCCTGGATGGGCTTCACAAGCCACACTCACCCTATGGAAATGACACCTACCTGGACAGTTCCCCACCTATCGACGAGAGCGTTCGGGACCTGAGGAGCAGCTTTGACTCAGTGGGGAGTAAACCAGTAGATGACTCCTTGGCGTATGACTCAATGAAGTACACTCTAGTGGTGGATGAGAATACTACACTGGAACTGGTGAGTCTGAAGCGCTGCACCTCAGTGCTTAGTGAGGACAGCGATGGACTCTCCACAGTCTGTGACGAAGAGGTAGCCGATGAGGAAGAAGATGGATATGAGCAGAGCCAGACGGTGGGAGGAGTGCGGCCTGATCTGTTATTAAGCTCCTCCTCTGAAGAAGACTCCTCACCTGAGGCAGACCTACCATTCTCCAAGAAGTTCCTCAATGTGTTTGTCAACAGCACATCACGGTCTTCCAGTGAGTGATCTATCCATGCAGAATTAAATCCAAATGTAAATTCAGCAGTTTTTGTGTTTTGAAAACAGGGGAAAAAAAACGATGTTACTCCCAGCAAACCAAAAAAATTTGACTAAAACATTTACCACTGTTGCCTACTTTCAGTGTGACTCCTGAGCATTCAGATGATGGCATAATTTATGTGCCTGACAAAATGCCAAAGAGATATTTAATAGTCCTAATGAGGCTTTGTCCAAAGTAGGACTTTTTATGAAGTTTAATGAGATTCTGTTTGAGGTGTTACTTATTATGCATCTAGCAGACAATCATACATGTTCTCACTAACACATACTCATTCGCCTCTAGTTCACCTCAGAGAAGGCTTACTTTTTGTTTCTGTTTTAGGCACAGAGTCATTTGGTTTGTTCTCTTGCACTATAAATGGAGAAGAGAGAGACCAGACTCACAGAGCGGTCTTCAGGTGAGTTCAGCCACCTGGCATGAAGCTCATTCTGCACTGAATTGTCACAGCTTTTCTTCAGTTTCTAAATTGAGAAGCACCAAGTATCAGAAAAAGGCAGAAGCAAAGGTCCTCAATGAAAGAAGGCTGATGTTCAGTCTCTGCTGAACAGTGTCCAGTCTGAAACCTGCCCACATTGACTGGTCATCTCTGCTTCCACACTCTGACTTTTACAGGTTTATCCCGAGACACACAGATGAACTGGAACTGGATGTGGATGACCCACTTTTTGTTGAGGAAGAGGAGGATGACTACTGGTACCGTGGCTACAACATGCGCACAGGGGCTAGAGGCATCTTCCCTGCCTACTATGCTCACGAAGTCATCGGGCAAACCAAAGACCTGATGGGTGAGAGCCCATAGGACACTCAACAAATTCTAGCGATAGCACTAAACTCAGTTTGTTGTCAAATGTTTCTTTGTTAAAGGAATAATTCAGTTAAAGCTAGCTAGCAAAAAAAATCAAACAGCCCACCTCAGTTATCCACCTGAAGCACTTTAAAATTTATTTTCACCTTCATCATCAGAAGAGTAATTTCCTAGTTTTTAAACCAGAAAATCTCACCTTAGAAGCTACTGTGGCACTGCTGTAAGAGGTTTACAGAACATGTGGAAATGGTCTCATTTTTCATTTTAGGCATTGAACACATCAAGGTCCAAGCTTACTTGCCTGTGTAGTGTAAATACTCTAATGTAAACACTGTTACTGTAAGTAAGGAGGCAGAGTACGTTGCTGTGTTTGCTGTGTTGATAATGTTTAGCATCTCAAAGTGATTGAGGAATCCCTGCTTGTTTGTTTCCATAGCGATGAAGAGAAACCCAGCCTGGATGGAGAGTTTCACTGTGCAGTTCCTGGGCTCGGTGGAGGTGCCTTATCACCAAGGCAACGGCATCCTATGTGCTGCCATGCAGAAGGTGTTGTAAACATTAAAAAGTTCACACATCATCTTTACGAAGATATTGTACAGTTAACACTAATAGAGTTAACATTAAAATGAATTAAACCTATGGTTTGTGTCTGTGTGCTCCAGATTGCAATGGCAAGGAAGAGGACAGTGCACCTTCGCCCCCCATCCCTGTGTGAACTGGAGATTAGTTTACAAGGAGTCAAACTGGTCATGAGTCTGGATGATGAGTATGACCTGTCGGAGGAGGTGAGAGAGAGAAAGAGAGAGAGAGAGAGGAATGGAAAGAATAGTGGAAGAAAAGAATCCAAAATGTGGATGAGTTTGTTACCTGATGTGTTTGGAAATGACAGATTAAATGAGATGAGAGGAGAAGGTATGAGAATGGTGATACAAAGTGTTTCTCTGGCATGTAATGCTTCTCTTCTCTTCCTCTTCTCTTCCGCTGTTCCAGTTCGACAGATGTAGTCACTTTTTCCAGATGAAGAACATCTCCTTCTGTGGATGTCACCCCAAAAACAACTGGTGCAAATAAAGTTTTATCCACATTTTAGTGAACGTTAGTTTGGGGACACCTAGCTTTTCCAAATGTTGTTAGTAAATGAGCATGTTTTATTAGTCAGTTTACAATAACTGAATATGATAGATTGGAAAGCTGTATAGATCTTCATGTTTTTCTTTACAATGATCACTCAAAACCTTTCAGGCGTTTAAGCCATCTTTGGCTTGAAACTCCTATTATATGTCCTGGGAAAATGTCAAAAAAGACAAGGTGTCCCCACACATTTGACAGAAAGCATATATTACAGCTGAAAAAACTTATTTACCAACTAAGCTTTGATATGCTAATCTATTTTTTGTCTCTTTTATTTTTTGTTCTGCAGTTACTTTGGCTTCATCACTAAGCACCCAATGCTGAACAGATTTGCTTGTCACGTGTTCGTCTCTCAGGAGTCTATGAGGCGTGTAGCTGAATGTGTGGGGTAAGTCGAACGCTCCTATTGTATTGTTTTCTTGGAACACTCCTGCCACACAGACAGGAAGACAGGACTATGGACTAAGACAGGACTACGGTAGTATATAATATATGACTGAAGTACTTCAGTAGTAAATCTTATCAGCATCAGTGATAGAACAAGTAAGATACAGATACAAGTACAAATTTAAATAGCGGTGTCTCTGGACACACCACATCACACAGTCTTCTGCTGGGAACATTGCTGTGACTGGAACTTGTGCAACGCATGGTTTTAGTTAAAAATAAGAACTAAAAGAACAGATGTCGAAGTATCAATATTGGTATTGAAAAAAATTCCCTAGCCCTAGACAGGACAAGGACTTTAGAGGAAAGGAGGAGCACAAGAGCAGGAAGAGCCTGGATAGTGGGACTTTGGAGAGTTAGAGGGATAAAAGATAGCAAGACGGGAGAGGTAGGACAGAAGGGATGGATGGGAGGATGCTAATGGGACTGGTGGCTCTGTGCTTCATCACAGACCCATAGAGCAGACTGCATTGTGAATAATTAAAGATTCCTCTGAATCCCTGAACATAAAATAGGCACAGAAGATGAGTGATGACCTCTCAACATCAGTGCGAGACGCCCAGCCCTGTCACATTAATATGACCTCATTAAGAGACACATCACTTACTCTCAAAGAGTTGAGAGGAAAAGGAAGAAACTGTAATTTTGAAAAGTTTCATCTGTTGAGTAGCATCACATATATGGAAGATTATTTTCAGGAAAGAAAATGTTTTTCTGCAGAAAAGACTATTAGGGTGTTATTAAAAGAGACAACACATTTTCGTATTATGTATTTGAATGTAGTATTAGCAGGGAAATGTTTTGGTTGCTACTGTGTGCTTATGAAAATTCATGACATGTTAAGACTGTTATTGACTAGTTCATCATGCAAAGTGGATGTTGATTATAATAACTTTCCCATTCTGTACCAGTCATATTTGATTAACTTTGATTACATCCAGTTTTCCAAAACCACCAAAACATAAACTGACCAAAAGATTATGGAATGAAACAGAAAACTTAAAGGGGAAATCCACCATAATTCTTTTGTTGAAATATATAGTCTTTCAGAGTGGCATTGGTGTGAAAGAGTTCATTGTGGAGAAACTCACTCTGATAGGAACTCTGAGAGGTTACAATGTCTACAAAACAAATAGCCATTTTATTTTCTATCCAACACTACCAGTGAACCTACACATGCCTTCTGAGCTCTTAAATGTTGATAATGGTAAAATAGAGGCACATCTGAAAAAAGGTGCCTTTGGGGACTATTTTGCCTTGTAACGCCCTACATCTAATTCAGGTAATTTATAGTGCAAAATAGTTTGAAACTATTGTTAAACAACGTCTCAGATATGATGCAGGGCATTTATAACCATATCATGTAATATTTTTTGTAAGGGAGCTTTTAGAGGGGTTAACTCTAGACATCTGGTTCCTATCACCACCACTGTGAGCAAGTTTCTCTAGAACGGAGCCTTTCACATTAAACCACTCTGAATGACTTTGTTCACATCTTAACCATTTGGTTACACAGACGTTAAAAAACTGGTAGAATTCATGTTTAATTATCTGCTCTGAAATTGAAGTAGAATTTGTGCTGGACCTGACTGTGTTTTTATTTTGACTGTTCATCTGTTGCAGACGGGCATTTCAGGAGTATTATCAGGAGCATCTGGAGTACGCCTGTCCCACTGAGGATATCTACTTGGAGTAGAGGAGGAGAGAGGTTACCAAGGCAACCACTGTCCTTAACGACAGACGTCTGTTTCCGGGTTTGGCCACTTGGGGGCGACTGGTGGCCTTTACTGGATGTAACATAGGCCTCGACTTTTCTGTGTCTCTCTCTCTCTCTTTCTCTCTTTGCCTCTACATGAACTGAGCAGAACACATAGGCTCGATCTTAGTGATGCGTCCATTTATTTACCTATCTGTTTGTTTACTCTTTTATTTATTCTCATCCTTGAATTGGATTGCCTGTTTGTTTAACTTTTGTATGATGTAGTTCCTAGGGACATGGCTTGGTTGAGATATTACCAATGCATTTTTTTTTCTTTTCTTTTTTTTTCCTCCTGGTTCAAAAATGACAAAAATATGACTTCACATGTTTTAATGCATGGCTTTGAGGGTTATGCTCACAGACACATATATACACATATACACTCACACACACAGGAAAAACTGAAAACGATGATGAATTTGAAATTCATTTTGGAAGGATGGGTTTCGTTTGTAAATATGTATTAGTTTGATTCCGAAATAATGCCGATTTGTACTGAAATGGACAACTGGACAGGCGTCGGTACTGAACAGGGATTAGTAATGTAATGTCTGCTCGCTGTAGTAGAAGGTTTAATGTGCATTCTTATTCTACCATCATGTAAATACTGTATATTTAGAAACAGTAGGTGACTACTACAGATGCTTCGTTACATTATTGTATGTAAGTAGCACCCTCCATCAGCAAACGGAAGAGTGGAGAGGATTGCAGGTGACCAGGAAGGCCTGTGTGTTAGCCTGAGAATGGAGAGCCGGGTAGCGTTGGCCATGCACGGTCCTGTAGATACTAAACTGTACTAAATCACTCAAACTTGGCTATAGCTTAGCAGGCCATCCCCTGACCATTCTTGTATAGGCTAATTCTCAGGCTGTGCTTCAGTGCTTTACGCTGCTGAGTCTCTTAGGCCCTGCCCTCCATGCATTGAAGGCTAACAGGTAGATGTGTAAGCAGCCAGTGGGGTGCAGCACGCATTCGACAAATTACTTAGCAAATGGCAAAAGCCTAGTTGCAATCTACTATCAGTCTATTAAAGGCTTAGTTAAAGTCTACTATCTGTTTAAATTAAGTCCTTGCATCTTTGGACATGAAATGAAGTCACTTCAGAATGTTAAAAGGAATATTTTACAGCCTATATTAGTTATTCTAGTCATGGTCCACTCATAGTCAGTGTACTTAGCAGAGTAATATTAGGCCTCAGCAGCTGGCATGCACCAGAAAGAATAAAGTAAAAATGCTCTGTTAAACAATACCAGTGCCATGCATGAAGGGAAAGGATGAAGAATTCCATTTCAGGCAATTTCAGTCCTAACCTGCTTGCACTGTTCGGTTTAAAATAGAGTAAAGCTTAATACATAGAGATATTCTACCAAGAATTTTGCAGTGCAAATTGAGCTACTCTGTATGTGTCTTAACAAAACACAGTACAATGGCAGTGCAGTACTCCATCTTTTTTTGCACCCTGTCAGTCTTATCTGGCAGACAGAGTAAATGTGTTTTTCTGCTCCTTGGCATTATCTCTAGTCCTTGCCCTAACCTTGACTCCAATATCACTAAGCTGTACACAACAGAGTAATTTCTTACAGAGCAGGGGGCCCTCTGCTGGCCTGATACTGTTAATGTCCCACATCATTTGATGATCTAACAACAGCAGTACTGCAGAACCCATTTACTGATATCATAGATGAACATTAACTACAACAATGAAATTCCATTTCTTGCATGGACAGATGGAAAGTGAAAAGTCTCAGTGGTCATGAATGATGGTACATGGACAAATAGGCCAAATTGCTTCTCAGTGTGCTGATGCTTTCCTACTTTCCCGCTTACTATTTAACAGAAGATTTTCCTACAGCAGGCTGGCTTCATTATCCCAGTGTCAGTAGATAATAATAACTATGTATCTTTTAGGCAGGACTTCAACACAGCTGTGGATGAAAACATTGAGGCCGCTCACGTCCTGCTCACCCTAGTCACATGACTGCCCCTGCAATCCGATTCCATCGTTACGTGTTCATTTGTGCTGATGATACATGTAAAGGGAGGGCTGCAGTTTTAAGACTTTCAATGTGATTTGCTCTCAGCTAGGTTGCTGTAAATACTCTAGAGTTGAGATGACCATGCTGTGTCCTTTCTGTTGAGTATGTTACTGAAATAAATATGTAAATTTAAAGAAAATAATAATGGTGACAATGATAACCTATCACAACCAAAAGGCAAACGCAATGGGAGTTAAAAAAAGAAAATTGTAAATTGGTTTAAATTAGCATTTGTATATCTTCTTTAAACTGCTTCACATGGCTGTACATCTGTGGTTGGATGTGTCGTCACAGTGTGCTGAGTAACATGTAAGTGCTAAGACACATGCCTGTGAATCAGCTGTGTGCAGTGTCATTCATACACACGTCCACCCCTCACACAATCATTTATGCTACCTGTCCAACCCTTGGCATTATCGGTACAATCAGCTCAGTCCGATCGATCGCTGAGGTGAGCATAGGCTGTTCAGATTCTTCAGGACACTCATCAGGATCCCAGATTCAAACTTGCGACTGTTTTCCATTAAGACATTACTTCATAAATGTTTGTCCAGAGATTAAATGAATTTCTCAGTTTTGTCTACATTTTAGCATTTTACAATCATGGATTGGCCATAAAACCCCTTATGTATTGAAGCAGAACAACTAATAACTGGATTACATAAGCTTGGGTAGCCAAATGAGTACAATAAATACAAACCTCTGGACTTCAAGTACGTAATGCAGTCCTTCACTGTATAACAAGACCAACAGCAGCAGTATGACAACTTATCTATCTTGTATCTTTAAAAATGAAACTTGTAAAAACAAAAATCAAAAAAACAAAAAAATTCACTGCCTTGTCATGGATTTGGTCTTATGAATAAAATACTATATGCTTGATGTCATCAAAGTGTTTGTGTAGTTCTGTCAGTGTGTGCAGGACATTTGTATTGCTTATTTTGGTGTACAGGTATCTGAAAATGTGCCTCAAACAGTGGTCGCACCCTCAGTTTACACCAAGTAGCAAACTTAGGCTCATGTGCCTGTTCAGCATTCAGTTACTTTACTGTAGACAAGCTCTGATGTGCTGATTTTCATTTATTTCACTTATAAAGTCTCAATGACAAACATTTGGACAGGCCAGTGCTACTCCTTGGAATGAACTGCAATCTCTTTCAAAGATTCAAATAATCACACAATACAATGAAATCTTACTCAAACCAATACAGTACATAAAAAAACTTGCAATATTTGTAATAGAATATCAATTTGATCATTAAATCCAGTGTTTTCAAATGAGACCCAGTGTTCTGTAGGATTTTAGGACAAAACAATGTGGCCTGATCTTCATAATGTAAATTCTCACTGTAATAAATATTGGATTTTCCATCTGTGGAAAAAAAGTGAAGCTACTTTAAAGACAAAGGGCAGCCCCAATGCTTTATTTCTGTTATAGTGATGGTGTTTACATTATTTTGTCCACCCTCTATAGCAGGCACGTCAAACTGGGTACCTTCCCGGGCTGCAGAGATTAGTGTTTACCCTCCACTAATGCTCTGAATTCAGTTCATGAAGGCCTTGCTAATTAGCTGAAGAGCTGAATTAGGTGTGTTTAATGAGGCAGTGTGCTGACGGTGGCAGTCTGCATTGTTTTGGCCCATAAGGACTGCAGCCTGACGCATGTCCTCTATAGCTTTAGCAACAACCCAAACCAAACAAGTTAGCAAAAAGAACATTAAACGCACATTAATGAACCAACAGACATCATATTTTATTATACAATCAGGAGGTGAGGTGTTATTGTTACAGATTAGTTTGCATTATTTAAAAAAATAATTAGATCCACTGTTAGATCAGAATAAATCTAGAACCAGGGCAATTTAATCACCAGGGTTTCTGCTAATTGCAAACAGGAAATGTGTAAGAGGCAGTGATGGCAAGCTATAATGATGTCTCTGGTCTGTTTCCCTTATAAAAAAAAGGCCTGAGGCCTTCTGTGCAGACCAAAGACCACAGCAAAAAAAAATCACAGTACTGAGTAAAATAAAAAAGCTGTTAGTACCCCACTGTCCCACACTGGCAGCATTTAGGTTTAGGTGAGCACTCTGGGTTACAGCAGGGCTCCAGCGAAGGGTCTGTTCCTTTACCAATCTCACTCTCCCCAAACTCCATTGAAGCCTCAAATGCAGCCTTTAGGTCCTGGATCTTCTTCTGCACTGTGACCCACCCTGGGAGACTTTTCAGTGTCAGGTTATAGTTCTCAGAAGGGTCTGACTCCAGGTCAAACAGCAGAGGAGGGTCATGCTGCTGCAAAAAAGCAAACACATTGCAGTCCTTGTCTGGAGTGGTGCTACTGTGTGTTGCTCCTGAGAGAAAAAAGACAGGGAAATAACAAGAGAAGGAGATACGGAAGTTTAGTTGAAAGGAGTAAAAGAGATTAATATATTAAAGTATTAACTCATTCTATTCAGATCCCTGTAGATCACAAAACTAAGCAAGGACTTACCCCGTGTGTAATAGTGAGCTTTGTATTTTCCCCATCTCACTGCAAACACACTATACTTCTCACTAGGGTCAGTTGGGTAGAAAAACATTGCCTCCCTCTTTCCCTGAAACACACAGGACAAGGTGAGGCAAATAAACCTATCACTTTTTATGAGACGTCTGAATCAAACACTCAGAGCAGCGCAGTAACTCGATTATAAAGTCATTCTTCCTTACTGGTCCATGGTTGAACAAAATATCAGTCATTTCCACACCATCCAGTTGAACTTTGGGGAGTGGAGCTCCAGCCAGTTTGGCAAAGGTAGGCAGGATGTCCAGAGTGCTGGACAGGCTATGAGTAACACCTAGAAAATGTGAGCAGACACATCACCAAAATGGTCACATTCTAGAAGGTATGTATGATGCTTGGTACAGTGAACCTTCTGTACCTGGCTGTATGACTCCAGGCCAGTATGCGATGGCAGGTTCTCTCATTCCTCCTTCATATGTAGTGCCTTTACCACATTTCAGCAACCCGGAATTTCCTCCATGAGACATTCGCATAAGCTCTGGCCTAAGAGTGGAAAAACCACACTTGCACTTGAACACATGTAAAGACATCAAGGAATCCATAAGAGAATAGACACAGATATAACAGGGTTGCACAATATATCGTTTGATTATCATTATAGCAATATTTTGCAAAGGTTTTTACTACTTATTACTGCAGAAGGCCACAATAAACAAACAAGCCCTTTAACAAATCACAATAATTTTTTTGTAAACTGTGAGCTGTTCAGACATTTCAGATGAGTTTCTGTAGGCATTCTGATAACTCAAGACATGTGACCCACCAAACATCAAAATAATGCAATTTGATCATTTTTCAGGTCAAATCTAGGGTTCTCCCATTCTCTTTACCTATAGCACTTGGCAAAAGTCGGAGACCACCTTTTATTTATTTCATTTACAAGTTATTACAGGTTATTCATTTTTAAGAAGATATTTCTGAGCAGATTAGACAAGATAATCCATTTGCATAAGGAAGGGGAAAAAATAGGTGTTTCTATAACTGGAGTTCCAGGAAATTATATATATATATATATATATATATATATATATATATATATAAAACAAAATTCAATGATGTGCAAATCATTTAAACCCTACATTTCATTAAAAATAGTACAAAGACAACATATCAAATGTTGAAACTGATAAATTTTATGGTTTTTGAAAAATCTATGTCCATTTTGAATTCGATGCCAACAACACATTCCAAAAAAGTTGGGACGGGGCAACAAAAGACTGGTGACATTGTGTAATGCTAAAAAAACACCTTGTGGTTAATTTGCAACAATAACATGATTGGGTATAAAAAGAGCATATCAGAGTTTGTGAAAGCCTGCGTGGGCAAATAGTGCAACAATTCAAGAACAAAGTTTCTCAACATAAAAAAGCAAACAACTTTTGCTTTTATCATCTACGGTACATAATAACATTAAAAGATTCAGAGAATCTGAAGAAATCTCTGTATGCAAGGGACAAGGCTAAAAACCAGTATTTTCTGGTCATGATCTTTGGGCCCTCAGGAGGCACTGCATTAAAAACAGACACCATTCTCTAGTGGAAATCACTGCATGGGCTCAAAACACTTCTGAAAACCACTGTCTGTGAAAACTATTTGTCACTGCATCCACAAATCTAAGTTAAAACTTTAAAACGCAAAGAAGAAATCATATATAAACAGGATCCAGAAACACTGACACCTTCTCTGGGCCCAAGCTCATTTAAAATGGCGTGAGGGAAGTGCAAAAGTGTTCTGAGGTCCAACAAATCAACACTTGCAATTCTTTTTGGAAATCATGGACACTGTATCCTCCAGGCTAAAGACCACTCAGCTTGTTATCAGTGCACAGTTCAAAAGACAGTATTCATGATGGTATAGGGCTGCATTAGTGCACATGGCATGGGTGACGTGCACATCTGTGAAGGCACCATTAATGCTGAACGATGTATACATGTTTTGGCAACATATGCTGCCATCCAGACGACGTCTTTTCAGGGAAGGCTCTGCTTACTTCAGCAAGACAATGTCAAACCACATTCTGCATGTATTACAACAGCATGGCTCCGTATTAAAAGAATCCAGGTGCTAAACTGACCTGCCTGCAGTCCAGACCTGTTATCACTGATAACATTTGGCACATTATGAAATGAAAAATAAAGATGAGCAATAAAGGTCCACTTTTGCTACAGATCTGAAAAAATCCACAGGTGTTTCCATCCATCCTTCCGCTGAGAGAGGACAACTCAACACTATGGTTTTGTAAGGATGTCTAGCTGTTAAGAAGGAGGAAGAAAAGGAAACAGACAAAAAAGAGGAAAATGTGCACTAGAACATCAAAACTGGACACCTGAGATATGGAACAAGATTTTATGGACTGATGAGACTAAATTTGTAATTGGGGTTACTTGGATTGTGAGAAGCAGAAACTACAACCAACTTTTAAGACTGAACTTTGGAGGTGTAGAAAAATATCCCTTCAGATTTCTTTGAAAGACAAAGCAAGTCTTCTGAACAGAATCTAGGCTGAAATAAAGACAAAGGGTGTATACACTAAATGCTGACATTTTTATAATATTTGAGGCTTCTGTGTATTTTTCTGTTAAATATGTTTTCTGCTTACTTACCCCATGCGGAAAAAATATTACCTTGTACTTGGCCATTTTGACCAGAAACGAAATAAATGAAGGGTCACTGACATTAGCACAGTACTGTATATTATGAGACACATTCCAATCACAAAATTCAGCATATAACCTGTGTTTTTGTTCCATACCTTCCAAGATTGATACTAATTTTGAAAAAAGCTAGCAACAAACATAATCCACCAGGAGTGATGGGGCTCAATAACTTGCAGTGTTTTATTATACATGCACACATTCTCAGTACCACTCTTACCCATTGTCGGACGTGAAGAAGACGAGTGTGTTGCTGAGGACACCAGTTTCCTCCAGAGTCTGTAGAATGGCTCCTACAGTAGAATCAAACTCCAGCAGGGAATCCCCAAACGGCCCTCTAAGCGACCTGCCCACAGACTTCC